AGGTGCGTTCGAGCTACTCTGCGGAAACACTGGCAGCAGCCCACAACTTGGAAGACTGCTACCCGACCATTGTAACGCTCCACGAGCTACACTCGGGACCATTGACCCCCACACAGTTAAAGAACATATTGGAAATGGGTGGTCTATGTATCAAAGTCACTCTGACTATTGATGCCGAGTCTGTCTTCAAGTCTTTGTCTAGCAAAGATCTGAAGAAGCCCACAGAATGTACTCTGCTTGGGCACATCAGCTGGATCCGCCAGATGATGGAACGCGGAATCGTGGAAAGCGTCCAATGGTGTGACACGCGGGATATGACTGCCGATGGTCATACCAAAGGTAGTATTGACCGCGCGTTGCTCCTACAAGTAATGGCCGGCCAGCAATCCTTCAAGCACGAGCTGAAGAAACATACGCCGTATAGGGCGGGCAGGTCGTCTCAGGACGGCCCTGCCTCCCGAGCCAGCGGGGAAACCCGCGGGCAGGTGCGCTTTAGTAGCGAGGAAACTCGCCGGTAGCGAGGCTACTCGCGCGCCCTTTCCTTGTAGGCAGCCGCTGCTGCTTAGCACTGTTTTTCCGCATAATGTAGAAGTGCGGTACCTGCTCGTCTCCTCCCCCTCCGACTTTAAACGGAGAAGGTTAAAGGCGAGGTATAAATCGAACATGTACCGCTGCCGTGCCTGGCTCAAGCCGGGCCCGGCCAAATATATGACTGTGCCTCACCGAGGCGCACTATTCGCATCTGAGATCGGAAAAGACCTTTCCATTGACGATGCCCATCCTATCCTTTACTCCAGATCCCATGCTTCGTCTTGCTCTCTTGCTCATGCGATATGAGCCAAAGCCTGGGATATGGGAGCGCCTAAGGCGGACTACATACCTAAGCTTGCCAGCTTGTTTTCGACTGAAACAGGGCAATCGGGAAGCATGCTGTGGAACAGCTTCCTTGGAAGCGTGCATGGGGGCCGCAGAAGCTGCGGGCTCATTTGCTGAATGACTGAACCAATTTCCCCAAGCTGCCCCGATCTTGGTTGGTTATTCTGGGATGTTTTCTTGGGGTTATCTTGTATTCCTCTTTCGCTTGGGGGATCATTGGGCGCTTTGAAATCTGTTGCAGGATTGGCTGGATCGATTGCCAGGTGAGCTGCCCAAGCCAGGGGATTATAGAAAAAACGTGCGGGGACCGCACAAGGGGTGGGAACATGTGTTGTATGTTTCAACACACGTTCCCGTGAGCCTCCGTTTTTTTGATTATGCTGGGATGCCTTCTTGGAGTTATCTTGGAGTCCTCCCCGCCCTACAAGATTCATGGGATCTTGCTTTTCCCTTCGTCCAGGGCCGATGGATACAATTGCCAAGCGAGCCGCCCGACCGGGGGAAACGTGGAAGTACGCAGTGGAAAGGCCGCCGTGGAAGCATGTGGGGGCCGCAGAAGCGGCGGGAACATCCGTTGAATGGCTTGACCAACATGTTCCCATGCCACGGCGGCTGCGGCGGGTTAGCTGAGTTGTTTTTTTTTTGGAATTATCTAAGAGCCCTTTCTCCCCTCCGTAGGGTCTTTGGGAAACCGAACATGTCGATCCAGTGCCAAAGAGAGCCGTCTGAGGAGTGGCTTGGGGGCTCCGCATGGGCACCATCATGGGCCATCGAGAACGGATGTTATGTTGGGGACCATGAGTAAGATGAAGGCACAGCATGCAGAGAAACGCCGCGGCGGAAACGTGGCCAGGGGGGAGCGTTTGTTAAAGAGTGCATGCAAGTGCTCTCATGGCAAGGCGGCCAGATCGAGCCGCCCTGGCGGTTCTGTCGACATCGTCCTGGAGTTATCGGCCTCGGCTGGATTGGATCAGGAGCAGGACGAGGATGCTTTGCGATGCGTTATGGCACTCTTGAGGGGCGATGCTTTGCGGCTATGCGTCGACGGCGGCCTCCTGAGCACCGGAGCGGGCGCCATGGGGATGACGCTGTTGGCGGCGCAGCGTTCTCCTGAGGGCAGTTCCTGCGAGTATCGAGCTTTACGGCGGGGCTCGCTGTTACGTTCAGCGGGGTCGGCTTTCCACGCGGAGGCTCTCGCCATAGAGTGGGCGCTGCAGCATCTTATCAGAATTGTTTCACCGTGAGATCGTCTGCGTTGCGGGGCGGGCCACGGCCCATGCCCGACTCCAAAGAAAAAAGAAGGAAGAAAGCAGGACAAGGAGCAGGAGGGGGCAAATGTTGATAAAGGAAGAGGGGGATGACGTCGAGGGCGAGGACGAGGAGGACGGACTGGATCCGGAGCATGAGCAGGAGCAGGCGCAGGAGGCGGAAAGGGGAGAGGGAAGAGGCAGGAAACGATCGCCGAACGATTTGCCTGGATCAGGGAAGCGGATAATCATGCAGTGGAATGGCCGCTTTGGAAACGCGTCGATGGCGCAGAAACGGGGGGAACGTGTGATGAATGACTTTGCGCGTGCTCCTTCTACGACGGGGTTCCTGTCGCTCATGTCGGGGCGGGGCTGTTGATTGGTTTCGCGTGGGCCATGCTTGTTACTTCTCTGTCGACCGTTCTGTTCGTTGCATGCGGGAACTCGCGCGTCGTAGGCGCTTGGGCTCAAGAGGTGGCATGGTTCGTGTCGGACTACAGCCGATGGTTCCTTATGGGCCATTGCAGATTGGTCCTGCACGGGCCACTGGTCGAGACGCGTCGCGTCGTAGTGCGGCGGCGGCAAGCAGCAGCGGTGCGGCTCCCGGTTACTCGTTTTAATATGATAACTATCTGACGTCTTTCACAAAAAAATGTCTCGATGCGACGGGTACCCTAGCGGCTGGCAGGGGCGTTCACTGTTGAACGGCGCCTGCGGCCCAGCGTCGGCAGATCGAACGACCGACGCTATTGGACATCCCCGCTACAAGGCTGAACGATGCGCGCGGTGTTGGGAACCAGCGCCGACGTGATCGCGACGTTTCAAGAAGTCTGACGAAGCCGTGCTCTCCAAGGAGGGGCATGGCCCTTCCCGGGCCAGAGGTGTCGCCAACTTGGCCTTCGACTCCTCGACTCGGACGGCCGAGGAGTTTTCATTTGTTCCCCAAGCAGTGCTAGCATTTTTTGGGCTTCAAACGTGCCGTTCTGGTCTTCCCGGCGAATGGCCGCCCAACGGCTGGGAAACACGGTTATCCTCCACGCGACCATCCTCCTCCCGCACAGGGGCCGCCCCAGGTCTGCGAAGCACGAGTATCAATACTGCGGGAAGCCATGCGAAGCACGGAAATCAATCACGCGATGATCCGCGAAGGGCCATCCCACGACCGTGAAACACGTTTGTCAACCACGCGATTGTCAACGTGCCTGCAAAACAAGCGCCAAGGGGTGCAACATGCTTATGGTGGGGCAAGCTCCGTCCTATCAAAATGCAACAAGACAAACTTTGCGCACCCGGCACAAACGGCCCCCTACCAACCCCACTTTGACGGGCAACTCGTGCCTGGGGATTCACTATGGTGCGGCGTGTTTCGCGATTGAGCTGCACACACTGAAGTGCCCTAAAACTTTTGTGGCAAAAGCCTGCCCAATGAAGCAAACGACGCCTTGGCAGGCCGTTCCACTGTGCCCTCTGGCCACGAAGTGGTTTTTTTCCGAGTCCCAAAAAAAAGTCATGTGGTGGCCAGCAGCAGAAGAAGAAGAAGAAGAAGAGGCAGGAAACGATCGCCAGGCGAGTTGCGTTGATCGTGTAAGCGTATTGGTCGAGACGGCCACGATCCTTTGTGACAGGTAGAGGGTTTCTCCGAAGGGCTTCGGCGACCCGTCCTCCTCCTCCTCCTCCTCTTCCTCCTCATCCTCTTCCTCCTCCTCCTCCATCTCCTCCTCCCTCCTCCCTTTTCCCTCCTCCCTCCTCCTTCTCCTCGCTTCTCCTCCTCCCTCCTCCCTCCTCCCTCCTCCCTCCTCCTTCTCCTCCCTCCTCTTCCTCCTCCTCCTCCTCCTCGGGTCGCCTGCGGCCCCGGGGGAAACCGTGCACGGACAAGTACACTGAGGTGCACATGGCCGTGCCCTCTCCCCTGCCTCCTGCAGCCGGCATCCTGCTCCTCGACCCGTCTCTTTCACCTCTTAGGGTGCTTTGTTGGGGTACCCATCGGTCGTTGAGTAGTTATTTCGGGACTCCCAGGCTTTAGTCTACTTTGGCCGCCTTCCTACCTCAAGGATCGAGTTGCTTCACCTTTTCCGTTCTCGTTAAGGGGCGGGCGGAAACCCGATCTATTCTCAACGCCTTCCTGCTTCATGTTTCTACCTACTTCTCCCGACCGATGGGTAATGGTAGCTCTGAAGATGGATGGCGTTTTCCTTTTTCAGAAGTTGCTCCGTTTCTCCTCCTCCTCCTCCTCCTTCTCCTCCTCCTCCCTCTTTCCTCCCCAGCGTCGGCAGTCTGATTTGAAACGGAGGCCGGCGATGCCAGTGTTGGTTTGAGATTCCCACCGTGGTTGCTGCCCCCTCGCACCGTGGTTGCTGTTCCCCAGTTTAAGAATCCTGTGCCAGAATCCCTTCGCCCCTTTCATCCCCATCCTCATCAGCATCATCATCAGCATCAGCATCAGCATCAGCATCATCATCATCACCACCATCATCATCATTAGCATCTTCATCATCATCATCATCATCATCATCATCATCATCATCATCATCATCATCATCATCATCATCATCATTCATCATTCATCATCATCATCATCATCATCATCATCATCATCATCATCATCATCATCATCATCATCATCATCATCATCATCATCATTCATCATCATTCATCATCTTAATCATCAGCATCATCATCAGCATCAGCATCATCATCATCATCATCATCATCATCATCATCATCATCATCATCATCATCATCATCATCATCATCATCATCATCATCATCATCATCATCATCATCATCATCATCATCCCCCCCCTCCTCGTCATCCTTCGGGAGGGGCCTCGTCGAGGAGGATCTGCTCGCCCCGCGGAATGCGAACGCCCCGCCCAGGACACGGACCTGCTGAGACTTGTGTTGACTCGGTGTGACGGCAAGGGCGCCCCTCCTCCCCTATGATGCGTGAGGCTCTGGGCTTTTCCCGGAGGGCGCCAGCTGTTTGTATCTCGAACCGCCTGACGGCCTCGACATTTTCACCCCTCCCGTGTGGAGAAGGTGCGGAGTAAGAGACCGTGCAGTCCGTTGGGAGATCGGTGCTGGATCATGGACCGTCTATTCAGCACAACCATCCAGCTTTCGTGTCGAAGACCGCTGGAGACCGCTGGAGACCGCCGAGGAGCGCCGAAGACCGTCAGAGGACCGTCAGAAGACCGTCAGAAAACCGCGGAATCCGATGGGTAATATCGGGCCCATGAACGAATACGTCAGTTCGTGGGGAGAGCTCTGGGGGGTAGGGGTTCCCTGGGGCTTCCCGGGGACACTTATGAGCGCCTCCAGAGGGCTTTCCCACTGCGCCTCCATCTGCGCTCTGCGTGCTTCTTCAGGAGCTCGTCGGGGACCCTCTAGGGCCTCCAGGGTGTCCAGGATGTTGGGACATTTTCCAAGGGTTTCCAGGAGTGTTCTGAAGGGCTGAAAGGGTCGTTTCCTTGGAGGCCCCGAGAGGCCTCCGTGGGGGCTCTCAGGGTGGCCTGCAGAGCGAGGAAGCGAGCCTCCACAGGGTTTCTGGCTGCCTTTGGGCCATCTGGAGCTTCCAGGGGCCTCCAGGGACATCCCATGAGCTTCGATGAACCGCCGAGAGCATCGCTGATCGATGGGGGAATTCGTGAGCGAAAAACCTATTCGTCTCCGCGGCCTCGCGGGCCGGGCCCCTGGGCCGCGACCCCGCGGATACGGGACGTTTTTCCGTGGATGCCTCGCGCGGATCGTATTCGTGCGACCGCGTATTCGCAGGATCGCTCCCCGGAATCCAGAAAGCGAGGGTGCAGATAATCTGCACGCCCGGAGTGGGGACGGAAAGTATGGACATAATGCCCAACAACAATGCTTGTTCATGCGGAACAAGATGTGCTGTCCTTCGGAACCCATCGGAATCAGTTCTTGTCCTTTGAAAGAATTAGTTTTTATTGTGGACAACGACTGCTGCCAAATTGGCAGGAATCGATGTCAAAGAGGCCCGATTTGATTGATGGGTCTCTAGGGGCAGCACATCTTGTTCCAGATGAGTAGGTACTGCTGTTGGTCATCTTGCTCATATTGGGAAGGCCTTTGGCTGGTGCCGCCGACCCTGAAGGGGGACGACGACGACGACGGTGACGGCGGCGACGACGACGCTGACGCTCTGGAGCCCTTCTTAGGGCTCTCTTGGGCCTTTTGGGCTCTGTTGGGGTGCCTCTTTGGGGACTTCTTGGGAAGCGCCTCGGAGCAGATCTGAGGCCTTCAAGAGCATGTAGGAAAACCCGCAGCACCCCGCAACAGCAGACAAGAGTGAGGAGGGTGCCTTTGGGGGGTGGTCCGGGAGGAGGGGGGATGGTGGTCCCCTTGTTCACAGAGGGGAGGCGGGGCGTGGGGTTCTGAGTTTCCCATGTCCACAAGGGGACCACCCCCATGTCCCCTTTGAACCCTCCGGGGGGAGATCACGACTCCCGGGACCTCCGCGCTACCCCCCCCCGCCAGGGAAGGTGACGACGTTGATGTTGTTTGATTTCCGTCTGGCTGGATCGCTTGAGGAGGAAGGCCCAGGGAAAGCGTGGGAGCGGCGATGGATGGCGATGGCGACGACGACCCAAACGGCAAAACGTCTCACACGGGAAGACAGGGTTGGCGGATTCCGATTCAGTTTTGGGTGCGCAGAGATATGGTTACGTGCGCCGCTTGTGAGGGATGGTGCAAACGTTCCATGGCGCATGGCGCGCAGAGTGGTTCGGCTAGGGGCTAGGACCAACGGCAGCTCTCTCGCGCGGCCCCTGCGAAAGTATAATTGCCCCAGGCTCTCGGTCCAGCGGGCGGAAACAGAGGTGCGAAAAGAGATGATCTAACAGGAGTACCGTACCGTACCGAAGATTTGCGCGGGCTCTGCTCGAGAAGGCTTACGCAAGCATTCGTTGTCACTGTGCGGGGGTCCAGTTGCTTTCACGAGGCTTCGGTGCTTTCACAGAGCCTCCAGGGTGCATTCAGAGTCTTTCGAGGCCTCCGGGAGTCTTTAGGGACGTACCAGGGTATCGTTGGGGCTTGAAGAGGCCTCCAGAGGGTTTTACTGGAGCCGTCAGGGCTTGAGTAGAGGCTTTCAGGGGCCTCTGGCCAGGTGCCTGCATCTGTTTTAGCATGCGCCTGGGGATGCTCCAGAAAGCTCCAGGGCCTCTGAGAGCCTCTTAGGGCCTCTGGTCGCGAGATTCACGCAAAGTCCTTGTGCCTCCCAGGGGGGCGGGTGGATTTGTCCTGGCGCGGGCTTAGTCTTTTTGTTGCTTTCCGCCCTCTCGTCCTGTGTCCTGTGCAGGACCTGCTCTCTAGCCGTGTCCTGTGCAGGCCTGGCTCTCCTGCCTTGCAGGATCTGTCTGTCCCGCCCTTTTGTCGCGAAGTCGTGGAGGACTACAGGGATCTTGCACAGGCTCCGAGCCATTCGAGTCCAGTCGCGACTTGCACATTGGGAAATCCACAGCGCTTCGTCGTGCAGCTTCCTCGAAAAGTTCCGCCTGCGGCAGAAGGAGTGGTATTCATGTCATAATCATTTTCTTACGTGCGAGCACGACGCAGGGCTACCATGTATTCAAGCAGTCTGGTGGCACCGCATGCGAGCACACTACGTCGTACTGAGGGTTGATCGTGCGTGTGCGGGCTTGCGTTCCAGTGTATGTTGGGCAGGTGCTCACGACAGTTACGATACACCCTTGAGTTGTCTGTCGCGTATAAGTCTGGACTGAGTAGTTGTCGAAGCCATGTGACATGGTTGTGATTTGACACAACACAGTTGGTTTTGGAAATTGTGGCCATGAGCGATTGGCCACCGAGATCCAGGCCCTTGCATCTATCCACGTGCCGAATCCGTTGTGCCCGTCTGGGCTGAAATATGGAGCCCGCCGCAGAGCTGCCTTTGTAGCAGTACATTTATACACATTTTGATTTACAATCTACGCGCTGCAATTTGAGAGGCGTGCACTTTGCGAAGTCAATGGGGCACTAGCCATAGAACGTCACCCATAGGCACCAGGACCAGACCGAGAACTCTCATCCATTCAGACATCACAGGGCGCCATCAATAGAGCACCGCCCATAGAGCGTCAAGGCAAAATCGAAAAGCTTAAGCCATCCAGCCACCATAGAGCACTAGCTGTAGAGCACTACCCATAGGGCACCTGGGCAAACACGAGAAGTCGCGCCATGAAAGCATCACGTGGCACCGGCCATAGATGACCACGCCTAGGGTACCAGGGCAGTGATATCGACGAATCGCAACCATTAGGAATCACATGGCGCCAGTCATAGAGCAACGCTCGTTGGGCACCTGGGCAAGAGCGAGAGGCCGCAACCATGAAGGCATAATGGGGCACCAGCAATCGATGACCACGTTCAGGGTACCAAGGCAAGAATAGCGAGACATCTCCACCATGAAGGGATCATCGGGCGCCAGCAATATAACACCGCCCATCGGGCACCATGGCGAGAACGATGATTCGCAACCGCATCATAGGGCGGCGGCCATGGAACACCACGCATGGGGCCTGCAACCGTGAAAGGCATCACGGGGTGCCAACCATAGAATGCCGCCCACATGGAACAACTTCAATAACGTCAAGTCGCAATCATTAAGACACCACGGGGTGCCTGCCACAGAGTACTTCCCACATCTAATGGCCTTCAGCCCATCCCGCCATCGTGCCTGGGTTCTGGGTCGTAGACTTCCAAGATGATGGTTGGGATGTCGCGGGGGGCCTCTCGGAGGCCTCTTGGAAGCCGTTTGGAGGCCTCCTGGGGGCTGTTTTTGGGTCCTTGGTGCGTCTTGGGGGCCTCGTGGGGGTCTTTTCGGGCCTCTTGGGGGCCTCTTGGCGCGCCCTTGGGACCTCCTGGGGGCCTCTTTGGGCGGATGTGAATGATCCCCGTACTTTTCCAGCTGTTTAGTGGACCGCTGCCCATGTCGGCTCGCAAGGTGTAACACGTGATAAACCTACGCATGCTGACTCAGGGACTTGTGGAAAGGATAAAGCCTTCATCATCGTCATGCATTCATCGCTACCGCATACACCCACGGATCGTCGAGAGAGGGTCGGCCTTTCGGTCAACCTTTCCTTCGCGCAGGTTATCCGCCTCCTCCTGTGTCTCATCTCCCGTGTGCGACAACTCTCGCGCGGCGGGGCTCCAGCCCTACTCTGACCGGCTTCTTGCGAGCGTGCCGTCTTCTGCGGCGGCCGCTGGTGACCCCCCCGCCTCACGGGATTTAGCACACAGTTTCGAGGCGATTGTAGATTCTGACAGGAACATTGCCGCCAGTGGGCCAATTTCCCATAACATTTTCGGCATTTGCGTGGATTTGACACTCACGCTGCCTTCGGCGTTTCGAAATAGTGTTTACCGAGCACCGAGCAGGCGACGGCCACAGTGGACAGCGACACTCCCAAGATGATCGCCGGTTGCGGGGGGGAGCTCCTGCAGGCGCTGGCCACCCTGGACCACCCGACGCCCAGGACGTTCGTATTCTGGAAGACCTTGGCCCCGCCGCTCAGCGCTTGCGGAGGGGGGGGGTCCTTGCAGGCGCTATGCGGCTGGTCCGTAGCAGACCTCATGGACTTCCTGGTCCCCCAGGTCTTCTAGCCATGTTGGGTCCTCGTGTTCCTTCACAGTGGATGCAGCGCGTCTCCGCTCCAGAGCGTGAAGATCGCTCACCTCGCTTTGCTGATCAGGTGCGAGCTATTGAGTCCACATGTACGATTACCGAGCGTAGTTCCGGACACTGGTGCTACGTTTGCCTTTAGACTTCGCGCCGCCAGCCCCGAGCCCAGTCACCGTGGATTGAGATGAATCAATCACTGCAATTTGGCCGCGCAGGGCGCTCGCGGCCGCAGCCCCTCCACTAGGGGCAGCCGCAATGCGACCTACCGTCCTTGTCAGTTTTGCCGCAACGACGCGTGGCCGAGCTGAGAGACCAGGTGGAAGCACTTGCTGCGCAACAGTTCTCAGCCGTGCGCAGATCTATCGCCGCCGCCGCTTGCGGTGCGGCCGTTTTACGATCTATTCTGATCGAGGGTCTGCAGGAAGTCGGCGAGGCCGTCCAACTCGGCCGCAGGGTTGCTGCTCAGGGGATCGCCCGCGTTGAAGAATCCCAGTTCTTGCGCGGTCAGGACCGCGTGGAACTCGCATCTGCGAAGTCCGACCCCCAACGGTCGAGACCGGCATCTTCGCGTTTAGAGATCGCAGCGACTCGCGGGCTCGACGTTTCCACGCGGAGGTACAGGCGCTGACGCTTGCCGCTCCTGGCGCAGCGCCCGCCGCCATTCGTGGGCGCCTCAAGAGCCTCGAGGCATGGTTGCGTCCCCGGCCTTTGTCGCGTGCGCCGAGACCACAGACGTCCTGCATGACCTTCGCGGTGAGTTGTGCCAAGCAGAGAGAGCCGTTTATCGCTGCTCCGACGACGCCCGCGCAGCTGCCGTTCCTGCGTTATCCGTCGGAGTCTTCGCGCTCGAAGAGACCGTGACTGCGCTGCGTGTTGTGAGGTTGTAAGGGCCCAGACTCGCCAGCTGGGCACCGCTTCGGTTACGGGGGGCGCCCCCTTCGAATCTGAGGTTCGGATCTCGCGGGCGAGGATGGGACGCTTGCAGAGGCAGTTGAGGTTCTGACTTCGCGGGCGACGCCGGGCCGTGCGCGGAGGCATTTTCGCGAAATCATAGCCGAAAGGTGTGCGTTGGCGGCGCTGGCGCCTGGGGCTCAGACCCGCCTGGCCGCGAAATCGCATAGATGTTGCAACTTGCAGTCTTGCAGTCTACCATGACTGATCCCACTTCGAAGGTCGAACGCGCGCACCCTCGCAGAGCGAAGCGAGCCGCGAAGATCTTCTCGGAAGTCGATGGGGGCCTCGGGGTGCGCGGGCCAGCAGCCGCGGGGTCGCGCCGACGTCGACGGCAGGTTGTCTGCGCGCGCCAGCGCGGCACCGCGCGCGACAACCTCTGCAGAACCAGGTCCCGCGAGCAGGGCGGATCGCACCTCTAGCCCTGGTCAGCCGCGCTGCCGCTGAGGCCGACGACGCTGTGAGTTGTCGCGCTCAGTCGCCCGTTGCTCTCGGTTCCGCCACCGCAGTCCCAGTGCGCCGTCGGCGGCCCCTCTCTCGCGTTTCCAGCTGTGATCAATCAGGCCGGATCCAGTGAGGTGACGTGTCTTCCAAAGATTACTCAGGTAGTCAAATGGCAGCAGACATTGCGTGAGGCGTTTGCTGGGCCCTTGTTCACCCCGCCGCTGCTTGCGCGCTCATCTGCGTCGCCGAACAACCTGGCGCGCGATTGGGGGGTCGCCGCGACAGCGGGGATTTCGAGACCCTGGATTGCAAGCTAGCCGCTGCGTTCGCATAGATAGATACCCTCCGCTGCGCTACGCCGGGGCGCGGGGCCCCTGGAGAACGCCGGCGGGGGCGCGTGCCCAGAGGGCGCCACCTTAATGTTGGCTGACTTCACGCTCCTAGGGCGTTGAGGACGTTGGCGACGCTATCCGCGACTTCGAGCGCGTCGACGCGATGCGCGCGCGAGGATGGTCTCGAGTAGTTCGCGCCAGGCAGGGATCGCGCACTCTTGGAGCTTCGCGAGACACCTTCGTGCCATTCTGGATTTTCTCCGTCTTCAGATGCGCTGGCATCCACGGGTGCGCGGCGACGCTGCTGCGTGGTGCAGGGCGCCGAAGAGCGCCCCTGAACAATAGTTGCACGTGGCTTCGTCGGCGATTCGCGCCGCAGGTGGGCTCCTTTGACTTCGGCGCAGTCGACGCGGACGTATCGGGCGCTCTACCGCCGCGGCAGCGAGGCCGCCTGCGCGAGACCCGCGGGAACGCTGCTGCGTTGCCTTCAGCAATGGTCAGTTACTCCGTCCATTTCCATGGGATCACAAAGCGACGAACGACGCGAACTTTGAATCATTCGCGTGAATTTTCAACGAATGAAGCCGCGGCGCCCGTCGCGCCCCCCGCCCTCCCAGCGTTTGCGCGCGGTCGCTCCAGGGGGTGGGCCAGGGCGGGGGGCCGGACTTCCATGGGCAGCGCCCGGGCATTTTTCCAGACGGGGTGACGGGGGCATGCGAAACGTGATAGGCATGGAAGATGGATCTGGCCGTGAAGGGCCCCGAACACGCGTGCGTGGTGGTGGCGGTGGGTGGGGGGGGGGCGAGTTAATTCTGAATCCTACCGCGAGGGGTGCCGAACAAAACGGGCTGCGACGAAAGTGCCGACGTCGCAAAGAAGGGCCGAGGACACAGCGGGGGGCCCTCGACCCCCCCAGAAGCATAGGTTGACCACGTATTCCAATTTAGTGCCAAAGACCACCAAAAAAGGCGGCTGGCGACAGAATCCGCAGGCGGCGCAGAGCCGCGACAGCCCGAAGTGGCGACGAGAATATGTTTTTTGACGACGTTCAACAAAAGTTGCAGAAGCGCTGTTCGCGCTTTAAAATCCGTGGGAATGTTGGCCGCGACAGATTGATCACGCGCTTTAGTCGTTCGATTTGTCGTCGTGC